CAAAACAAGACAAAAGAACTTTTGGGAGATCTGCTCGAACTGCATCCATTTCTTGAACAACAACAATGGTAGGAGATTAGTAAATTTAAATTTTTTATTTTTTGAATATATTACTTACAGTATATAGGTATATTAGCAATCTTGCAAAAATATATTAAAGCTAGCAGCAAATTGTATATAACAAAAGAAATTAGAAAGAATTTGGGTCTCCAAAGATATTAACACACCATCATTCTAAACCTTCCCTCATTGCATCTAAAAGACAAAATGCAAATAAAAATGATACCAAATGAAATTTTAAGCTCAAAATGACAATACTGCTAACCATCAATCTTATAAATTTAACACGAGGGAGGAAATCAAAACTTACCCTTTACGATCAATTACTGCCCATTTTCCCCTGGATGTTTTTTTATTTGGTTGAGATTGGTGTAATACATGTCTAATAAATCAGGGGCTTAGTCCACATGTTTAATGACATATTCCTCCAAGAATTCTTTTCACCTACCAGTAGCACTCAAGGAATCTTCTTTCCTTATTTAATCAACTTCTTTGACTCCAAAATCTTAATGACCTCACACCTTGGACGAATCCTTTTGTCCAATGAATACATAAGTAATGTGAGGTAGGCAATTGCTGTCTTCCTTTCCAACTCCATGGTATTCAAAATCAATTTTCCTCTTTAGATTCTCCTTTGAACAACCCAAGCAAGACGGATACTTCTTAGGAGTATTAGAGACCTGCTCATCACTCTATCCCAAACTCTTAATAAATTCTAGTTTCTTCTTGAAATTTGATTCAGTCAATTGAATCACCACTCGAAGACATTGTACAAACTTAATAGCATCTGGTGCAAGACCAGTGTCTTTGGCTGCTTTAACAGCATAAGCCATTTTGTCACATCTTTGCAATATAGCTCTCAATTGTAAGGTCAGCAAATGTGATATATGATCAACAGGAACCCTTTCACTTAACAAGAACTGAATGTTTTGTTGTAAAGTATTGATCTAAACACAAAGCAACCACCATGATCGCTTAACAATAGTCACTATTTTTCATTGGTATCAAGAAATTCCTTTAAAAATTTGAATGTTGGCTTTAATTTAGAATCCAGACTATAAGTAACAATATGAGGATTCAATATGATGAGCTTAGTCAAAATCGTACTCGTGAATCCATTTTCAATGAGCCACTCAAGTTTGGGCTTCAAGTTGGTCTCTGCTCTGCATT